AATGGAACACTACAAAAAAAAATCATTTTTGTAAAAACATTTTTTTTTGTCTCTAAATCTACTTTTTCCGTTAGTAATGACATTAGGGACAGAAATATGAACGGAATTACGTTAGCTACGTGAACTTTAAGAACGGAATTCCGTTACAAATATATTATTTTTTTTGTAGTGGAATCATGTTAGATTTATTTACTTTATTTTATTATTTCAATTATTTCAACACTGACATATCTTGGGTTTATGATTTAATTCCCGGTAAGTTCCAACAATTGGTATTAGAGTTTTTCCGTGTTAAATTATTGATATATGTTGGTAGATTTTGAATTGAAATCACTTTGCTCTATGATCGAAATTATTTTCATATATGTTACAATTAATTAATTGATCTTTGTTTCAATTGTTATTGATTTAGCTCTCATCGATTATAGTATTTGGTTGGATTAATTAATTGTTAAAGCAATCAATTGATGTTAACGGGATATATATATATATGATATGTATGACATGGTAATATCATGAATTCATTACTCTGAATACTTCTTATTAATTTTAATAATTGTTTAATGAATTGAAATAAAATGTCTGATTTGCATCGATCATATGTCAGCGAAAATCATTATGAATGTGTGTGCAATGTTTGTCTGATTATTTATTTATTATTATTTGTTTAATATGATTCATGGAATGGAATACATATGCACATATAATTGTGTATATAGAATCAAACGTGTGTATACAAAGGTGTCAAAATTAAACCCGACCCGACCCCGAAAAATTGAATCCGTTCGACTTGGAATTTATCAGGTTCGGGTTTGGATATTTCGGGTTTGAAAAAAATCGAGTCTATCCAAACCCGAAAGAAAAAAAATTCGTGTCGTCTTCGGATCGTGTTTCGGGTTGACCTGATAATCCGAATATAAAAATCAGGTTAGGTTTTGGGTTTTGTGTTTCGGGTTGACCTGAAATTTTTATTACTATTATTTTAATTTATAATATTTATATTATTTTAAATATAAAATTATATAAAAATTAAAATAAAAATGATTTTTTTTAGGTTAATTTAATTTTTTTAAAGTTTTCGGGTCTGTTTTGTATCGGGTTCGTATCGGGTTTGTTCGGATTTCGGGTAACCTGAAACTAATTCAGGTCAACCTGAACCCGACCTGAAAAAATTCGTGTCGTATTCGGGTCTAGGATTTCAGGTCAAATTTCGGGTCTGGGTCGGGTTCGGTTGACAGTTTTTTTGTTATCCACATGGCTCAACCCGATACGAATACTACCTGAAAACACGAATTGACACCCCTAATTTATATGACCATTTATTGATTTATTTTAATTTGGGTTAATGTGTAAATGTGTTGTATCAATTGCATTTACTATCTGCGAATTTAATATCAATTGACTGTGACTCAATCAGATGTGAATTACTGATTAATCTTGTATGTTAATGTCTCCAATTACATTTATTATGTGCAAAATTTATTAATTATTGCTAATTTTCTATAATCAGATTCATTTTGATATGTTTGAGGATCCAATTAAATTTGGGATACAATAGTATATGGTTTGTTCAAATACGATTATAATTGCTTAATTTATTAATTTATAGTATCTTTTGATGACATATTTGTTATTTGAATAATGTCCTTGTATTTAGTACTTTCTTGAACTATTTGATTATTTTAATGAGGCCAGAAATTAATTGTTACTCTTAAATTTTTCATTTGTATCTGATATACATATTCGTTTCTTTAAGGTGAATTTAATTAGCAATAAATAATATAATGTATTTTATGAATTGGTTGAAATAGTTATGTTGCCAAAACAGTCTCTGCTGTGTAAATCAGTTTATTTTATATATTCGAAAGTTTTGTGTGTGATTTATAAAACTATTGATTGGCCCAAAGGAAAATGTAATCAAACGATTAAATAGTTACATGCATGTTTAGCAACATTGAGTGTGATAATGATAATCTGATTATTTGTGTGTGAATAATAAATTTGTCCAAAGATGAAGTATTTTTTGACACACTACTTTATTCTCAACATTCGATTATCAAAATAAGTTCATCACTCACGAGTTAGTAATTTTTCCAAAGATAATCTATGATATTACTCGATAACTTGTGATATGATTACTAGTTTATTTTATAAATTCACATACGGAACATTCAATTGCTTATAGACATGTGCATTTTGTTGCTTATACACATTCTTTATTTTTATGAAATTAGTCCCGTATACATTGAACATGATTTTAATTCTAATTTGGTTTAAGAAAATTATAAATTCATTAATAATGTTTGCTGCGTTTTGACAGTGAAAATCAAATATTTGAAGTTGACAAAGTAACCTCTCTTCTATGAGATTTTACTTGATAATGTAAGTGTTTATATGTATTTTAATTCATGTGATTATTCTTCGGCCCAAAGGTAGGTAGTAATTGACATAATGAAATATACATTTACGATAATATGTATGAGATGATTATATAGTTTTAATTTATGTGAATAGTGAATAAATCCAAAGAGTGGTTTACTGAGTGACATTAATTATTATTTGTATATGATTATTGCAACAAGATAACGACTAGCAATCAATATTATTGATCCAAAGATTTATCATTGATGTTGCATTTAGTGTCTTGGGATGAAAATACATTATTCTTGAATTTCATTATACTTCATAAGTATTTATACATATACTTTTCAGTAAACACTATTTGGGGACAACTTTAAGCACTGAAAAGAATCAATATTACTTTATTTGAGTTGCATGAATCTTGACTTGACATTAATAATAGACCAACTTACTCATATGACATAAAACACTCTGACAAAAAACGGTTATTTGAGAAGTAAAATAGATCTAATCGCCTTAGTCTAATGATCATAGAGAAAAGCATTCCAAAAATTTTTTGGGGTACGATATCTAATGATATCACTACTGCCAATGAATTTTTGTCGAAATTAAATTTTTTTTTACCAAAAGCGATAAAGCGGACATGAACACTCTTATAAAGAGTCTCATTACTATGAGGTATAACAACAAATGTAACATAAGGGAGTGCATTCTAAACATGTCTAATATTATTGTTAAATTGAGGACACTTAAGTTAGACATTTTGGAAGACATATTGGTCCTATTGGTCTTGATCTCACTTCCAGCTCCAGCTCATTAGACTCGTTCTAAGGATATGAGAAGAAAAATTATGCTAAGTATCACAAATGACGCGTGATGAAACAAACTTTTCTTAATTTGGTTTGTACTGAAATTAAAAATAATTTCAATTCATAGACACACGTGAGGGGTAGATTTTGGTGTAACAACTCACATCAGTATGCCTATGCAAGATTATTTGTCTTTATTTCCGAAAGTTAATTGATGGTGAAAGATACATCTATCTGAGTGACCGCAATAAAGTTAAAATTGAAGTTATTGACAATTTGAGATTGTTTTAAGTACTAGTTTTTATTTGAATTTGAATGAAACATTTTTTTTGAACTAGATTTGAACTAGTACATTACTTGATGATAAAATCGTCATTTGTTTAATAGTCTAGCTTCATATTATGAATTAAGGGTAAACTGTTTTTTTAATCCTGTAACTGGACCCCCTTATCATTTTAGTCTCATAAGTGGAGTCTGTCGCAAACTAGTCCCATAAGTGAAAACATTTCGCTATTTTAGTCATCCGGCGCCGGAGATGACCGCGTGGCTCGCTGGAGGTGACGTGTCCGCCAGGTGTCGCTGACCTGGCGGACACGTGGATTTTTTTCTTTTTTTCATTTTTTTTAAAACTTATTTTTAATTTTATTTATATATTTTTATTTTTTTTATTTGGTCTAATTAAAAAAAATTTTAAAAATTTAAAAAAAAAATGAAAAAAAATAATAAATTCACGTGTCCGCCAGTTGTCGCTGACCTGGCGGACACGTCACCTCCGGCGAGCCACGCGGGCGTCTCCGGCGCCGGAGGACTAAAACAGCGAAAATTTTTCACTTATGGGATTAGTTTGCGACAGGCTCCACTTACGGGACTAAAAATGATAAAGGGGTCCACTTACGAGATTAAAAAAACAGTTTACTCATGAATTAATTATTGAACATATTCATATAACTTCCACGATTACAGATCCGCTTAATTACTAAAGGGTCTCCACATAAGTTCTATAATGAGCATATTGCTCATATTATAGTGAAATCATATTTGATATTTTGGTTTAGTTGGAGCTGATTAGTAGTGTTCAAATCCAATTAAAGTTACTTCATTTTATATTGTAATATTCAGTATGCACTGTTCAGTATTCAATTTTAATTCAATATTCAGTTGTTATTAATTAAATTTAAGGTGGATCAATTGGAAATAGGCATGTGAAGATCATGTTACATGAAATTTTCATATTGTGCATCCGCACTTGATTGAATCTTAAGTTATATTAATGTTGTGACCATTGATCGGTATCATTGCAATAAATGCAGTGATAACCGCTTTGATCCCCGTTGATGCAATTTATAGATAAGATTGATAAAATACATTAAAAGACCTGATCGCTAAATTTTAATAAGCTTATAAGGTTATATAGTGTACATTTACCCAAATGAGAGATTGTTGGATTAAAAATCTAATTGCGATTTAAATATAACTATTTGAGCTATCAGTTATGTTAAACGTATATTAAGTAATTTATAAATTTGTTGAGCTTAAATATATTTAATAAGTACGTACTTCCTATGTGCAGAAATCCAATAATTTATTAATTGGGTGGTGAGACCAATTATTATAAGGATATATATTAAGATTGTGATCCCAGATCTAGGCGCAATATTCATTATTTTTCATATCTCATCGCGGAAGTAACGACATAAACTCTAGGGATTTTCTCAAGAGAGATTGCACCATAAGCTTAAGAACACAAAATCCTCCATCAATTTACAGATTTGCATTCCATTATGCTAATGAAATCATATTAAATTTATTTATTTTAATTTATTATCTCAATTATTTCAACACATAATGATGTTTAATTTTTGATAAGTTCCAACAAGATATCCCAACCTATCATTAGCATACAATTAAACTTCAACCTAAAAAAAAAACCATTACCTTTAGAATTATGAAAGTCTTCTATCTCCCAACATTCATACTCGAATCTGTAACCAAAGCCTCACCGGAGCTCACCGACGGATTGCTCGCAGCATAATACATAGCCACCGGCATTTGCGCCGGCAGCTTCGGCAACTCCGCCTCAAAATTGAGCACGTGCGCCGCCATGCGTATCGGCGGCCTCAAGCTCCGGTCGGGATGCGCACACCACAGCCCGACCACCGTCAAACACTCGGCCTGCCACCTGTCGATATCCGCCCCGATTTTCCCATCCACTCCGCCCAACGCCTCGCCGGCGCCGTACAAATCCCAAACCCACTCCACCAACCCTTTCCCGGTCGCCTTATCGAGCGGATCCACCGACCTCCGACCCGTAACGATCTCCAGCACCACCACCCCGAAGCTGTACACGTCCGACTCCTTGCTCGCCCGCCCCGTCGTCACGTACTCCGGCGCCAGGTAGCCCAACGTCCCTGCCAGCCCGGTCGTCTGCGGGCCGAGCTCATGGTCCATCAGCCGGGCCAGCCCGAAGTCGCCGAGCTTCACATTATAGCTCGAGTCGAGCATCAAGTTGCTCGACTTGATGTCTCGATGCAGCACGCATTGATCCCATTCCTCGTGTAGATACAACAACGCCGATGCTAACCCGAGCGCGATCTTGTACCGCTGATTCCAACTCAGGGGACTCCGGGTTCGGCCGAAGAGGTGGTAATCGAGGCTGCGGTTGGGCATGAACTCGTACACGAGGAGGAACTCGCCGCGGTCGTGGCACCACCCGATTAGCTGCACCAAATTCCGGTGACGCAACATGCTTATTATCTTCACCTCTGTTATGTACTGCTTCTTGCCCTGTTTTGATCCCCCGGAAAACTTTTTCACGGCTACCGGAATATCCATTCCGGTGAGATGCCCTTTGTAAACCGCTCCGAATCCGCCCTGTCCGAGCTTCTTGTCGGCCGAGAAGTTGTTGGTCGCCAAGGCTATGTCCTTGTAAGAAAATCGCCTCGGCCCGGCCCCTTGTTCGAGATCGTTGTTTATCGATGTCAAGTTCGTCGTCTCGTCTTTACTTTCGCGGTTCTTTTTCCTTTTTCTCGACAATAAAAAGCCGGCGGCGGCGATCAGAATGCAAGCTAAGAGGCTGAATCCGACAGAGTATCCGATAGTTCTGTTTTTGTTATGGCTTCCGTTGTCTTCCGGTATGTCGAGACCGGAGGCGAATTCCCACGCTACGAGTGCGTTTATTTCTAGAGTGCGGCCGGTGGCGGCGGAGATGCCGACGATTACCCATTGAGGGAGAATCTTCTTGAGGTCGAGGCTGTAAGAGAGGCTGGAATTGGGGCGGCCGCCGTAGCTCCAGAAGACGGTGAGGTTTTGTACGGCGGCGTTGTACACAATCCAGGCGGTGCCGATTTCGCCGCTGTGGAGGCTGACGTTCCATGGGGCGGTGACGGCGGAGGTGATGGAGTTGGTGTTGATCCCGACGTGCTGATACTTTGGATCCCAGTCGTTGGAGAAGGTGTCGAACTCGACGTGCACGATCTGCGTCTCCGGGAGGTCGGTGGTGGTGGTGTTGAAGAGGCCGAGGAAGCCGCCGGCGGAGTTGGGAGGGATTTGGTAGCCCGGCGGGGCGAGGAAGAAGGTGAAGCCGTTGCCGTATTCGGTGCGGTTTTGGAGGTCGATACGGAAGGAGAAGCGGGAGGTGAAGTCGGTGAGTTGGCCGGAGTTGGTGTCCCAGAGAGGGATTTTCCGGTTGTGTATGACTCGGCCGACGCGGCAGTTCCAGTCGATGTTGGTGATCTGGACTTCGCCGGCGGAGTTCTCGGCGTCGCCTTCAAGGACGACGGCGGACACGTCAGGGCCGAACTTTTGAACCTGGAAATTCACCGAGTGGGAAAATGGGAAAAAGATGAGTACAATCAACACTGTGGAGATCATTGCTTGCATATTTCCTTGCTTGCTTACAGATTTTTAAGTCATCATCTGGTCTGCATGTATTACATATATAGATATATATATATACATATGTATATGCGCGTGAAAACAATCAAAACATTACTCGTGTTTTTTCGCCTTTGATATTTGTCTTCATCAAATAATTATTTTTTAATACTCTCTCTCTCTACCATAATTAGATATCCATTTGTTTTTCATATAATTTTTAAAATATTAGTATTATATTAAAATATAGTAGGAATGAAATAGAAATAATTAAAATAATTTTATTAATATGTGTAATATAAAAGTAATGACAATTGTGTAATATATTGTAAGTTGTAAGGGTATTTGTAATGTTACGGTTACTAAAAAAGAAAATGAATATTTTGTTATGGGACGGACTAAAATAAAAAAATTGGATACTTTGTTATGATACGGAGCGAGGGAGTATAATTTAAAATAAATATTACCAAAAACAAAATATATACCTATTTGAATATTATATACATATATGTTCCTTTCCCTCAAAAATAAATAGATAAATAAAAATCAATAATGCAATAAAAATATTATAATTATATTATTAAGGCACTTATTTATATCTAAAATTAAAAATACATTAATTCAAAAACTCAAACATAATGAAGTATTCATTTATTTTTTGCATTGTCATACTTAAAATTTAAAATATTTTTACATTTGTATAATATATTTTACAAATATCATTATATTTGTATTAGACAATACTAATATAAATATTTTTGTATTTTTTTCTTTAATTTGTTTATACAAGAATATAATATAAATAGTTAAAAAGCTACATGCAAAAATCAAATTGATACCTATTTAAGGGACATAGGTAATTAGGTAGTATTATTTAGTGCAAACTTATTTCAATAAAAAAATATATTCTCTTCAACAAAAACTTAAATATATAATTTTTTTTATTATTTTAGTTCGTCTTATTAGTAAATACCAAAATATATTTCATTTTTACAAACTATTACTTTCATTTGTATTTTGAAGAATAAAAATATTAAAATTATTTTATATACATTTACATACTAATAAAATATTATTATTTTTTAATTTATTATTAAAAAAAAAAACCAATACATACATTGAGTTAGAATGTGGAGTATACTCAAATCAATATCAAACTAAAATATTATTCAAATTAAATTTCAAGTAAAAAATACAAACTAAAACCAAATTCAGTTATTTAGTATCCAAAACTGTTATCTCATATTTATGTTTTATTTAAAATATTAGTATTTGAATTCTTTTTCCGAACTAAGTTAGTCGAAATTTTAGTAAGTTAAGGTGTTTTACCGCCTCAAAAAAATCTTCGGCTCCACGTCTCAAATAGAAACATTTAGGATGAACACGAAAATTAAAAAATAATAGTATTATATTGAAAGTAGGTGTAAAAGTGTTTATAAAAAACCAAAATATTCTTATAATTTTGTAAAAATGTGGAAAGGTAGTTAGCAAAAATGTAAATGAAACTATTGTTTTGAGACGAACGGAAATGACAAAATTGCACTATCGTTTTGAGACTGAGAGAATATAATTTTTTAATTTTTAATACAGTACTGATTTTTCCGATCAACACTGTAACTCTTGTCATAGTATATTCTATTTTTTCACAAATAATTAACATTCAATACAAAATATTATTTTTTTTATATTATCGATATAATTTCTTACATCACACATTAAAATACCTTAAACTAAAATATTAAAGAAACAAACATAAGACAATAACACAAGCATACTAAAATATTAAAGAAACAAACATAAGACAATAACAAAGCAGACATTCATTTATTTGAATTATAAATATAATTCTATCAGGATGGATATATAGATATAATAAACGCGTCTCCGGCGACGACTTAAGTGTCATTTTTTATGTTATCTGCATTACATTTGAAGGTTTCATTCCAATGTAAAAACTTCTTTTTCGTTTTTTTTTTAGGATGATGGCGTAAATTATATTGATAATATAAAATTTAATATTTTATGTTGAATTATTTAATTTTTTGTTAATAAATAAAATATATATTATATCTTTTACAATATTGATGGGGAATTATATCACACAAAAACACAAAATGAACGGTGTAAAAAGCCTTCAAATATTTTTTTAAATTTGATTTAAATTCCTGTATAAAATAGATTTAAATTCAGTTTCTACGGGTTATTTCAAGATACTATACTCTCTATTTTTGTAAAATATTTATTGAGATATTTTAGATATTTAGTTTTAGATTTAGTAGATTTATATCTAGATTTGATCTTATTCATAGATTAGATTACTTAGATTTGAGTCTATCGAGTCTATTTTGTATTGCCTATATATATGCTCCTTATTTTAATGATTAATAAGATAATTTCATTATTTTCCCCCAAAATTTCTAACATGGTATCAGAGTCTATTTTTCTCATGCCGGAGATATAGCCTACCAACCCGTGTTTCTCCGGGTACATTCAATCTGGATTGTACCCGGAGGTCTTGTGATTTTGAGATTATGCCTTTGCAAGTTGTCTTTTTGCAAATCTGTCTCGTCTCCGATCTCCATCTGTCCGCTGCTTGTCTGTTGCTTGTGTGTAATCTGAAATCTTCGCTACTTGTCTGTTGCCTGCGAGCGATCTAAAACGATCTGCCATATGTCTGTTGTCTATTTGTTGCTGCGTACGATCTGCCATCTGTCGTTGCCTGTCTGTTACCTGCGTGCGATCTGATCTGTCCGACGTTTGCGATTTGTCTGTTTTCGGCTCCGGTGGAGTCATGTCGTTTTAGGCTCCGGTGGAGTCATCTCGTTTTTCGGCTCCGGTGGAGTCATTTTATTTTTGGCTCCGGTGGAGTATCTCGTTTTCGACAGCTCCGGTGGAGTTATGTCGTTTTCGGCTCTAGTGGAGTCATCTCGTTTTCGGCTCCGGTGGAGTCCTATCATTTTTAGCTCCGGTGGAGTCATCTCGTTTTCGGCTCTGGTGGAGTCCTGTCGTTTTCGGCTCCGGTGGAGTCATCTCGTTTTCAGCTCCGGTGGAGTCCTGTCGTTTTCGGCTCCGGTGGAGTCCTGTCGTTTTTTGCTCCGGTGGAGTCATCTCGTTTTTGGCTCTGGTGGAGAGTCATCTCGTTTTCGACTCTGGTGGAGTCATCTCGTTTTCGGCTCCGGTGGAGTCATCTCGTTTTTTGCTCCGGTGGAAAGTCATCTAGTTTTCAACTCCAGTGGAGAGTCGTCTCATTTTTTGCTCGTCAACTGCTAATTTTATTTATGTTTTCTTTTTGCGTTTATATTCAAATTTCTTATCAAACTCAAGTTGGTTTCTGTTATACCACTTGAGTTTGAGGGGGGATGTTGAGATATTTTAGATATTCAGTTTTAGATTTAGTAGATTCATATCTAGATTTGATCTTATTCATATATTAGATTACTTAGATTTGAGTCTATCGAGTCTATTTTATATTGCCTATATATAGGCTCCTTATTTTAATGATTAATAAGACAATTTCATTATTTTTCCCCAAAATTTCTAACAGTTTTAAATATTATCAGGTCCAAGGTGAAAGACATGATTGTGGGTCACTGGTATGTATATTCTCTGAGAGTTACACTTTATGCAACACGAAAACTTACCCAATTTTTTCCGGTACATAATACAGTACCATAGCATTATTTAACATTTTTCGTATTTTTCCATATAATACTCAAATACCAAAATTATAACAAAACATCTTGTATACAATTTTAATATTTTGGTATTCAGCATATCGGTATATACAATAATTAAATTATTTTTAATTATTTTTTCAAAATTATATATCGCTTTTTTAATTTTAGTGTTATAGAATAAAATGATGTTATATCAATACCATACAAGCAAATCGATATACCAATTATCGGTGTTGTTTGATATATAATATCTCATATATCAAATTTTCAATGTACCAAATGTTATGACTCATTGTATTTTATGACTCATTATATAGGTGTCATTTAGGTGTGTTTCCAAGTCATCAAATGAGATGACGTATAAATATGTTGCTATTGTATTAATTTGAGATAGATAATATACGATTATTATCCCCCCCCCCTCTTCTCTCTCTCAATCTTCCATTCTCTCTCTAAAATTTAATACTCACAACACACTATAAACATATACTTTATTACATATCCTTATATACTTATATATATATATATATCTATTTATATTATATATTTTATAATACGTTATCAGCACGAGGCTTTGCCGAGGAAGTGCACATAAAAGATAGCGTATTTTTTTTGTTGTTTTTGTTGTATTACTCGGAAGGTTGCGAAATTTCTGGTAAGTATTTATTTTCTTTTAATCATGTCTAATATAGCAAAATTTGAATTTCCCCCACTGGCAATTACCGGAAATAATTATATGCCGTGGGTAATGGATGTCGAAATGCATCTCGAATCCATGGGGCTTTCGAAAACAATAATTAGTGAAAATGAATGCACAAATCAAGAACGTGCAAAGGCAATGATTTTCGTCCGTCATCATATTGACGAAGCCCTAAAAATGGAATATTTAATGGTGAAAGATCCATTTGAATTATGGACAAATTTGAAAGATCGATTTGGACACTTGAAATCTGTTATATTACCGAAAGAGAAACATGCATGGCAACACTTGCGATTGCAAGATTTTAAAATAGTTGTTGATTATAATTCCATGATGTTCAAAATCACGTCCCAGTTAAGATTTTGTGGAGAAAATATTTCTGATAGGGATATGTTGGAAAAAACATATACCACGTTTCATGCCTCTAATATAGTTTTACAGCAACAATATCGAGAAAGGGGTTTTAATAAATATTGTGATCTTATTACTTGTCTGCTTGTTGCTTAACAGAATAACGAATTATTGTTAAAAAATCACGAATCGAGGCCAACTGGTGCGAGTCCATTCCCTAAAGTGAATGCGACTCAGTGTTTAAATAATATGCCTAGATTCTACTGTGGACGAGGTCGCGGACAAAGCAGTGGACGTGGA